TTTTTTCTCATCAAAATTCAATATCCTAAATACCGACAGTTTCTTGAAATTAAAACTTTACTAAATACCTACAACAACGGTCTAATAGACACTTTTATAAAAACACCTCTTATACGGTGGTGGGGGAGCCGTGGAGGTAAATGTCTGAAAAACAATATGTGAAAACGACTACTCTTTATGTGACATCACGTCGCGTCTGCCGTCAATAATTTTTTACTCGTTAATTTGTTGATGATTCACACAAATATCAAATGTTATTGAACAAATAGTGTTTTTTTCCTATCATCGGTAAGTGAGTTTAAATTTGGGCCAGGTGGATCGGATGTAAGGTGACAAGGGAACACGCAAAAACCGTGGTAAAATACTTGAAGCGTGCATGAATAAAAAAATGAAAAAAAAATTTTTACCTACATAATTTTTCAATGTTAGATACAACAAGAGTTTTAGTAAATTATTCAACTTCTGCAGATTATAAAACTGTACGATTTCAATTGTCATAAAAACATCTAAAGACCGATGTGATAAAAAATAATAAAATATCGGATTGTTTTTTTTGTTGTAAAGGTGTATAGTGTCACCGTCACGAATGCTGCAAAATAATTTAAAAAAAAAACCCCTTTTTTCCAAAGACAAATATTATCGACTTGAAAATAAACTAGCTGTATACAATATAATATATACATACTACACGAGTGGAAAATCACGAACTATACGCTTATTAACATTACACAGGTTACAGGAATACGTACCCAGGGTTGATTATGCAAGTAATATTATATACCTGTAATTGTTGTTCTCTTTGACTAATTATTATACTATGCACTTCGCTCAAATCGTCGTACAGAAGGACAGTTATCACTACGACACCTTCGAATACGGCTGAACCACTTATGTGAACGGATACGTGTCACGATTTGTGCGGATGTACTTTGGGTTAGGTTTATGGTGCTCTTGAGTCAACAAACGTGTGAGAAACGTACAAAGACATCGAATACAAATCAAACACTAGATAAGTCTACGTAACTATATAGTATAATAGTATAGACGTAACACCAATATTGTACTCGCCTAGACGTATATGCACTATATTTGTAAACGTGTTGCTATATGTATAGTAATTATAATATAATATTTTTTTTTTTTTGTTATTAGGGTTGAGGCTTCGACAACATAGGTCATTAGCCTGTGGTACTGTAGGGGGGGAACTGTAGGTTGTTAACACGTGTGTGTGTTTTGGCAGAATTTTCGATTTGGGCAGCCGTAGGTATCTGGCATGCCCGGGTGGAGGATGGCGGCACTTGTTCTCCGGACACCGTGACTTGCCCGAAGAAAAATGCCGCTCGTGACCACGGGATCGAACCGGCGACGGCAGCGTCGCAACCGACGCCTTAGACCGCTCGGCCACTCCGTCCCCCAATATTATATTATATTGCTCACTTTTGCTGAATTTCAGTGGAGCTTTGGAGGAGAATCGTCTGCTGCACTGTGTGAAGGCGACTGCAGCCGCAAGTCCCAACTATAATAATATATTACCCCTCAAACGTAACGGTTTAGCTCTTTCGACTTAAAGGCTTGCGGAGGATTTTCGCTTACGACATTTAGGTACAGTTTGTAATAACTAAGAACATTATAATAACTTCACCTACAATAATTATAATTTTAGGTCTATAGACTCCCCCCACCCTAGAATTACACCGGTCGACGCCACATACACTCTCAATAGTTCACGACAATACGCATAATACGATCGCGTATACATGAAGCACGTGTATGAGGTGGTATAGCCGGTATAATAATTACAGACAGCTGTACCTACACGTCATATATTATTATTATTATAATTTTAGTAAATAAATAGGAGTCGGCCGGCTAGGAGAAAATGAGAGGTTACAGCCTTAGGTAAAGACCGCGCTCGAGCTATTTATTTAGCTCACAGGTTCTCAAAATTATCTTCTCAAATTTTCAGAATCAATAATTTTTAAGCTTACCATCTGTAATGCATTTCAAAAACAGCACCTAGTTATTGTAATTGTTATATTTAAATACGCCATACTTATTTTATTTCTGAGTTCAAACTTCAATATTTAATGAGAACGATACAAATATAATTAAAACATTTAAGACATACATAGGTACTTGATCATATTTAAAACTATATTTTTTAGAATTCAAACATTAATCACTAATATGAATCATATTTAAAAGTATTTTTCTTAAAATTAAATTGAAACGTATCTACTATCTAATGCAAAGGATGAACCTGATGCTCTTTAATAAGTTTGTTAATATCAGACTTAGATTTACATAAAAACAGACGTAAGTGAAATTTAGTGGACATGTATGGTGACATGCGTTATTGAAAATAGTAAAACTAAAGAATTTATTACTAAAACCGATGTCGTTACATGTCCGTATGATATGGAAAGTGATCCTTTTTCAGGAAAAAACTCAATAGTTTTGTTCTAATTTTTCTATTAATATAATTTTTATATGGGTCATTTTAAGTCAATATAAATGACAACACTTTTGAAAAATTTTATATTTTTTTTTTTTTAAATGTCAGCTTACATTTCTAATTGCATAAGTACTCCATACAGACTACTGAACCGACATTTTTCAGGGGTACACCTGTGAAATAAAACTCCACTAAAATAGTAAAATGTATTCTTTAAATACTTGCAACTAATTATAGCTATACTCGTTTGAACTTTTGAAGTTTGGTTTGTATGTATCAAAATACCTCCTAAGAAAATTATTTTTCTCATAGATAGGAATATGAAATCAACAGGTGTGAGCTGTCGTTTAATTTCATTAAAAGTTAAACACTCAAAAATGATTACGTTCAACCAGTATAAGGAATATTATATTTTTCAAGAATGTTGTTACTTGTTTTGTAGGTAGCGAATTTAAGAAACGTTTGAAAAAAAATATTTTCAAAATCGTTCATAATATAATATATTATGCCGAGAAAATTAAAACGCTAATTTTCGAGCGTTTATACCTTTAGAGCAATCACCTTGCAAACGACCGACTGAATATATCGATGCGTCACGTGGTCGACAGCATAATATGATGGTGGCAGTCGACATACCAACAATACCTACAATATTGTGATAGGTGGTGTCGTGGTGACTGGTGAGAATTTGTTTGCAATTAGTAATAATTACGGTCGTCAAATGACTGCACGGCGCCGGAGGCGTCTCGCTGCCACTATTTAAACACATTTACATACCAATGTTTATTTTTTTTTTTTATACATTTTTACTTTTTTGGTAGAGGTTCCCATATGTACACACATTTAAATGTTTCACGTACCGAAATATCAATAAATGTGCATTATATTTTGTTTGGGGAAAAAAAGTTTTTCGAACCGTTGGCTGGGATAGGTGTATTAGGTTATTAAGTGTAACCCGAAAAACCATTTAAAACACAGCAGTCTTACAAATTACAATTTGTGTCTGGTGCAAATAATGTTTGTATTCCAAGAACACAAAACGCTTGAAATAGAGATAAATATAGTGACATAGATGCATATAGTAACGACGTAGAGTACCTATTAAAACATAAAACGTGATTAAAATACAAAATTACAAATATCTAACCTTCGGTGTATGAATTACAGAATATTAGATTGTCGAAGAACCAGAAGATTTGGAGATCGAAGATTCTATATAATATATATGTGACTCATGTGTGTAAAAATAGGAGCGTATTCACCAATTGTCCAAGTTCCATTCTCACCCCATTTTTTCTTCAATAATATCAGATATTTGTAATTTACCAAGTATATTTAAAGACTATACTTAAACATTTTTGAGGTTTTTGTACATAATATGCAGCGGAAGTGTCCCTGTGAAGATACAAACTTTTGTTTTTCAAATGAAAACCCTTTTTTAGTTTTTTCTACTGTTAATTAATTAGCGAATAATTTTTCTGAACATTTCGAAGAAACAGGACACTCCTAAAGTAGTACAAAATAATATATTATCAAGAATTTGAAAATATGGATTTTAATTGTATTTAAAAAATTCCAATTTGAATAAACTAAAAAATGGTTGGTTAACATGCTTGGTGAATTAACCTGTATGCTTTATACAATATTTATTTTTTTATTGATAAAAATTATATTTATTTCTATAACAACTTCAGAAAAAAAAACATGATAATATATTATAATAGTGTTTTATTAATTTTTATAACAAAATGGTCGATACATCAAATTTGTAAACAATGATTTTTTTTTTAAATAAAAATATTATATTATATATCATAGAACTTCAACTAAAATAATATAATAATATGATGTCTTTAATTTCTTAAGATTATTTATGATAATATACATTCATATAATTATTTCCTATTAAAATATAATATTGTAATAATAATCATTAATCAACATTATTGCTAAAATTAACAGTACATAATATTTTGTTTATAGTGTTGGTACACTATTAGCACTTGAATATATATATATTAACTATAAATAATACATAATATTATATACTATATAGTAATACAACATACAATTTTTTTTTAAAATTAAAATCATGTAATTAATACATATTTAATATCACAGAAATTTCAGAAATATAAAAAAATAACACCTGGAAAAGGGTGATGAAATGGAATTTGTCGAGATATTCTTTACCATTACATTATATTATTATGTAATGTGCATACATTAAAAATAATCCAGTATTGTAAAATGTGTATATATATATTATTACATACATAATATACACAGTTAGTGGAGTTAGTACATAGTATTATGAATGATGTGGACTTAATGGTCATATAGAAACTTGTTTCCTTCAGTTAATGTTTATAAAACACTATTGCTTAGCGTTAGATGATTATAAAAATAAATTAATACGTTACGAGACACATGGAATCATTATTTAAAAATAAAACTAATACACGAATGTCATATAAGGCACGACTGCTACCGGTGTTTTCTCGCGGCGCACTCTCGTGGAATTTACGAACCATTTCGAATCGTTTTAGACATCTCCGACGAATTCGGCTTGTTTCACTGTGTCGGGTAACTTTTGGTCTTTCGTCTCGGGGAACAGGAAAGCTAACGCCCCGGCCATGAACGATATGATTCCGAACAGCAGGATCGGCACGTATTGTCCAAAATAGGCGCTCTGCGAAACAATATTTAAACAATATAGTTTTAATGCTCCGACACGTATTATGTTATAAAATTATACGATAATATCGTGCAAGCGAGGCAATTTCTTTTCATTGCACTTGGCTATCGAAAAGACATTTTCAAATACACACCAACAGCGTCATTTGTGGGGCGAACATGGAACCCATTCGACCAAACATGGAAGCTATGCCGAACAGTGACATGCGTAGTTCGGTGGGGAACATCTCCGCGGTGAACACGTACATGGTATTAAATGCCATGGTGATGGCGTACTTGCTGCTCAAGAACATCAACAGTTTCATCCATAAATAATCTGAAAATTAACGATACATATTATGGATTTTAATACAAAGGGAGAATAGACATGACGACGACGACACGAATTGGTATATTTTTATATTTAATGTGTATGTGTGTGTGTTGGAATAACTATGGATCTATCGGGAAATGAATGAAGTACACAATTCTTAAACCCTCGGTTTATTGTTTAGTAAAATCAGAAAAGAACCCGTGGGTGAGTAATTTTCTATGGTATGTAAGCTTATTTAACTGTTAGGTACTCTAACTCTTTATTTTCATTAAAAGTTGAACGACTAACGTAGGTACTTGTTTATCGACAATTGTTTAAAAAATTATATAGGTACGGTTATAAACAGCAATTATACATAAGAGGACGTCATACCTGGCATATGTTGTCCCGTCTTACAAACGCATAACATACCAAATTTACGCTCAGAAATTCACTTTTTATGCCATTAGCTTGAAAATTAGAGGGAATCGGCCTATTATGAAACTTGATGGTAACAGCATTATCTGTGTTTTGTTGGAAGTTTTTATACGATAACTCAGTTTTTAAGTGAGTCATGCGTGTATATCAACTTGTATTTTTAACCAAACAAAATGTATTTATTTATATATTTACATGTTTTGTCATATTAAGGGTTAGTTATAATTATTAATTTTTCAATATTACCTAACTTGAATTTATATAGCTACATTATGATAGGACAATATCGTTTTATACTTGATGCATTAGTCCAGATGTATCACATTTGTATGTTATGTTACAGAGAACACGCGTAAGTATCTATTTATTAAGTGAAGTGGGGAAAATTTTTTTAAAACCAAGTGGTTGCTTACCCGTAGGTACTACGTTGACCATAATACATCCGATGCCACTGAAGAGGAATGAAAACGCTTGGGTATTTCGTCTGGAAAAGCGTTCCATAAAGTACCACGATGTCAAAAACGCTGGTACTTCTACAATGTTTACAAGCATAAAGTTCAAGTATTTGTTACCGGAGATCTCCACAGAAGTTAACGAGAGGCCGTAATAAACTAACGTAATCGTTGTCCTGAAGTCATAAAAATATATCAATATATTGAATATCACATCACAGAAGGTATAGAAAACATTCAATAATTTATAACATATATATTATATAATATTTAGATACTATAATATACTAACCAGCAAAACGAACAGTTGATCAGCCGCAGGAAAATCTCCTTTGAACTAAATATTTTGCTCAATAATTTACTACAGGACAATTGATGTTCGTCCTCCTGAAAAGGTAAACATATAATGTTAATTAATGTTTATAACCTCAAACGGTTTATCGTTATATAATGTTTTAACGGAATTATAATTTATGAACTATAGTGCGGTGATGTAAAATTGTATATAATTTCTGTGGAATTATGGCAGAAGCTGATATGTAGATTTTGTTAATTTTTGAACTATCATTTAAATAGTTTAGAAATCGTAATTTCAAGTGGTCGAAAAATATGATATGTCTTTATTATATGTGTGGCGCCATTTATGTGCTAAAGAACAAAACTGATAGGATAATTGAAAATATATGTAGCGGCAGTTACTAAGTCTGTAAAATGTACATATCAGTTTCTGTCATTTTTGCACAGATTTATTATTTTACCCCTTTCGTTGCGTTGGCATTGGCTTTGGTGTTGGCGATCAGTGCTTCTTTGACGCTAGACGGCAGTGTTTTTCCATTGGATTTGGCAACTTTTGACAGAACCTTGGCCATCTCTTCGATTCGGTTTTGCGTTTGAAGCCATCGCATAGACTCTGGCACGTACCTATATTACGACGGCATCACATGGACAAATGCGTTTAAAACGTTATACACATATTATATTAACTCGAACATGCGTATAGTCGTGTATGTGCACGATATGGTTGCAGTAGCAGTGGCGCAAATAGGCGGGGTTGGCTTGGGGGGAGGGGAGCTAAGCCCCTCAAAAAAATAATAATATATATTATAATTAAACCCCCCCCCCTAAACATTTTTCCTATTTGCGCCACCGCAGAGCAGTGGCCAGTGATCGTCAAGCTTACCAAGCATATCCTAATATGAGAAGTCCGGGCAAGTAGAGTACCCTAAGCATTATCCGCCAGTCGAGAATCATATAAGCTGCGAAGCCCATGATGACCGCGCCCATAGGATAGAAACAGCCCATCAGAGTACTGACGGTAACCCGGGCTTTCGGACTGACTAGTTCTAGACCTGAAATAAACATTTTTATATTGTTGAAAATATTAGCCATGTATTTATTTTCATAACATATTTTGCGAATTCGAGGCTTTGATTTCTCACCTAATACAAACGTGGCTCCATACACTCCACTAGACGCCATGGAATCCAAAAGTTCGAATAGGAGGAATGAATAGTAATCAGTAGTGAAGGACCGGGCAGTGCCGAGTATGGCCGACGAAACTGACCCTATAATCAAGATAAACTTGCGTCCATACCTTTATGTTAACACACAAAAAAAAAAGGATGTAATTTAATATTATAGAACAAACTATAGATAGAAATAATAGAAAACAATTTATAAAATACATACTTATTATTATTATGCGAAACAACAACGGTTTTGTTTTTACAGGTGGATAATTGAAAACGTATCTATACTATGATAATGGGTTTTATTTTAAAGTTATATTTTTTTTCGTTGGTTTCGATTTGCGTGAGCTTGTATGAATAAATAACGATTTCTATGAATTGTTTGATAATACGTTAGGGTAAAGTTTTATTCATACATTAATCCATTTACGCCATATTATGGGATCAGTGATATGTACTTGGTCCAGACTGCAAATAATAAACACGTAGGTAAAACCTGCAGATAAATGATAACTGTGGCAGATTCGTCTATAGAAATTTCTAAAAAAAATGGTAAATCGTTTGCTAATAAGTGACGCGGCAGAGGCGTATAAAACCGCCAAGTAAATCAGTCGAGAGAAATGAAATTTGAACAGTTTTTAAATTTAGAAGTATCTATTGTTAATTATTTATAATACACGAGTGACGAGTAAGTGAATACTTGGTGTCTGAAAATTAAGCATACAAACCGCCAACCGGCCGTATAAAATGTATGTCTTTGCAGACTACAGTAGTGATTATTCAGTATTTACATTGTATATTAAACGACGACGGATAATACGCCATCACACCCGGTCCACAGTACCTATAATACCTAAATATTAATTTTTTTTTTTTTTAATTTAATTTCTTTCATACATACATACATATGAATACCGGGCCCCACTGAGAGAACTCGTGTGGGTTCCCAGGAGTTCAAAAACATAGTAACCAGGGTTTTTTTTTAATGATTTTTTCTGTCTGCACAAACTTATTCCCACTGTTGGGTTATATAGGGGATTTGTCTATGCAGACCAAACCCTACGGACTGTTATCCTTTGAACTATAAGGGATAGTTCCAGAGGGGCCCTAGCCCCTTCCCCCCAAAGCTATATTTCTAAACAATTTTATAATGTTAAAAACAAAATCACAAAAAAAAACCATCGACATTTTCTGAAAATTATGACTTGGTCACCCTAATCATACTACTTATATACTATATACCTATATAGTATCTACTAACCTACTGTCTACTGTATACTGTACTATCTACATTTTTTACTTTCATAAGACTGCATATAGGTACTCAGAAACGATATGTAAAAACATAAAAGTCCCAACTCTCTCATGCTATACCTACCAAATAAATCATTTTATACTAATGCACTATTTTTATTGTAAATTTGTAAATAAAAATTTAAATTTTGTTTGTTAATATAAGTAATATTTACTTGGAATAGGTAATTTGAAATAATAATTGTTTATAAAAATAAAAGCATTCAATTGACTAGGTAGGTACCTAACTATCGTATATATAATTAAATGAGAAAATAGGGCATTTGATATCAAAACGGAGCTAGTATTCTAGAAAAGCGTTTGGTCAAAAATTCATAGATTATCTAGATCCAAAAAACTACAACTTAATGTCAGTAAATATAAAAAGGGACATATTCTATACAGAATGGAATCGTATAACTATAGAAATGAAAAAAAAAATTAAGATTTGGTTATTTCCAATAGGCAATTGAATAAATAATAAGTAATAAATATATTTAACTGTTGTAATTTTAATATTACTTATAATTTTATATAACACTCTACCACCACCACAAGCATATTGTGCTTAAAGGTGGTAGATATTTTTTTGTTTTTTAAAAAAAAAAAAACAGTATAATAATGAATAATATAAACAATTTTTAATTTTAATAGAAACATTTTTTTTTTATTCTGAAGTTTACTCAATTATTGTTTTATAGTATACAATAAAATATATCACCCTGAAATTCTTTCTTTGCACTGCACAGAGTAAAAATCTACATTGCACAATTAATTTTTTCACTGCACAAAAAAAACCCTGATCGTAACATTAAAATTACAGGTAATTATATAAAAAAAAAGGAACAAGTTGTAAATTTTAAAAAATATACTATCATAATAGTATAATACTATTTAAAATTTTTAAACTAAAATTACCTAAAAATTGATTATACCTGGTACTGTATTCTTCATGAGATGCCAATAGCCATAGCAAAAATTATTTTTTTTTAAATAAACTAACTGGAACGGTTATTATTTCGGATGTAATAATAAAGGTATACTTACTGTATTGATAGTATTCTGAAATATAGGTACGCTGTATAGATAGCATAATATTATATTACTCACTTGTCCGAAATAAATCCTGCTAAAGGAATGCCGACGAACTGACCAATGCTGTTGATGGTTCCCACCATGCTGAGTTTCCATTTGTTTTCCTCGCACATAATACCAAACTGTGTGCACAAAACGGGCATTGTCAGAGGGGTGCAGATATCGAGAGGTTAACGAAAAATTATACAATCAAGACCGGCCACTCACATCGTTTACTATGGTTCTTTCCGTCTCGCCAAACACCCATTTGTTGCACTTCTCTTTCGAATTGACGTCGAAAGCTTCGAAATTACAAGTGTTATTGGCAGAGACGTCCGAACCATTGGATTGCCGGTAGTGGTACTTGAGGCATTTGTACGGCTGAATGTTCTTTTCTTTGAAAGGTACCACTCGGTTCAACCAGACCGGATCGTAAATCGGGTTTTCAATGTCGCATTCCGGAATTTCACATCTAGAAAAATATTACGGTTGAAAATAATAATATACGTCGGACACGTCGTGGTACGTAAAAATAAACCCTATACCTATACGAACTATAATCTAAAAGCATAGCAGTATAACGCATGTTGGGCAAGACAAACGTATATTACTGCAGGCTACAGAGTATCACACCATAGTGTGTTCTAGATTTTTTCTGCAGCGGAATTTTAAATTTTTAAGGAACGATAATAACTCATCGTATTCGATAGAAAATTGTGCAGAGAGTGGATCAGCTCTTTTTCGAAAACACCAACGACATTTTCGGTAATTTCACCATCGTAAAATGACCTCTTGTTAGAAAGTATTGACAAAGCTTTTAGTCGTAATTCTGATTAATTCGGTAAGTACTGCAGTTGTTCGGAGCTTTTGAATTATTGGTACTATTCTGTCCGAAAAGTGTTAACACTAAAACTATATATATATATATATATATATATATATTATATAGGTATCTAATAGTTTGTTCGTTGTAGACTTATAAGTTTATAAGTCTTGATCCAAAAAATTGTAAATTTTAATCAACGCATAAGTATATCGAATTGTTGTTCATTTGTTCATAAATTCATAATATAAAACTAAAAAATCAATTATGTACTTAATTATATTATTTAGTATTTTATTTTAACAACTACGCGTTGATTAGCATGAATGTACTAAAAATGCCTATTCAATGCGCCCGACCAAAACATTTTTTTTTTTTAATATTAACATAATTTGTAACTTCTCATAACGCTGTCAATCACGTTTTTAAATATTTTAAAATAATATACCTAATTTTGTAAGTTACGAAATCTATTTTTTCAAATGCCTTATAATTACAATAAAATTGATTATATTCATTATTATACTCTGTCCAAGTTAAGAAACGTAGTCGATGGACGGCAGTGACAAATTTTCGTCGGGCCGCATTCAGGCATCAACCCTGCACCTCACAAGTCGGCAGCCGACTATGTTTCTTAACTTGAACAGAGTATAGTAATGCCTATTTTATTATGATGTGCAGTTAAAATAACGTAGTAAAATTGACAAATTTATTATTTCTAACCTCGCACATTAAATTAAGTAATGAAGTATACATTATATGTATAATGATTCTTACTATTTTTAAATTCACTATTATTGTTATTGTTTTAAAATCTATTTTTTTATAATGACAGATTTTTAATTAAGTAATAACGATAAGTACCTATTCATATAATATACGAAATATTTATGTAAATATACTGCCAATTTGACTTAATATAATTTATAACGCGAGTACGTGACATGTTTTTTTAAATTTATTTTGGGACAAATATTTCAATATATATATAAAATTATAATGTTATTGTGAAATCAATTTATTTAACACATTCTGTTTTCACAAGAAAAATTTCGGAAATTGTACATCTATACAGTAACAGTACCTATTCTTACATTTTCTATTAATAAATGGCACTGCATAATATATGGTGAGTAGTATAATAAAACAAATGAGAGTGAATTAAAAAAATAATTTATCACTGTATTATTATTTATTAGACACAATAATAGGTACCTTATATTAGGTTATAGAAAATTCGTTTTCTCGTAGGTAGATGGTACTATATAAGTGCATTTTCTACGAAGCTTCATATAAACGTAAGACTAATGTTATTTCAAGATAATTTATCTTTAATTAAAATAGGTTGGTTTGCATTCAACTAATTTTAAACACAATTCATATATAAATGAAAAAATGAACCTTTTATTAAATAGGTAAGTATTGAAAAGAAACAAATTTAAATTAAAACCAGAAATAGAAAAATAATTAAACAAAATATATCTCCAATACAAGCATAATACATTTTGAACGAAAATCAATTAATTTTATTTAAAATAAGCTAGAGGGTAAAATATGAATTGTTGTAAATTTGTAATAAACTGAAAAAAAACCCCAGAAGATTTATATATTATTTACTTAACACTGAACTATCCAAGGTTCGTTAACTTTGTATTTAAAACATAATAGTATACTATTTGTACTGTAGTCGCTTTATTTATTATTGAACGTATATTATATATTATACTATTTACATTATTGTATGAGAAAAAAGATAAATTGAGATTTTTTAAATTATAAAAACAGTTAGTTTATTTGCTGATGTATTTTTTCCTGAAATTTGTTTACATAGATTTAAATTCAATTTATTTTCTTCGCAATGACGAAATTCGATTATAAAGAGTGTGTACCGCCACCAACTCGTTAACAAAAATTTAGATCGTATATTATATACAAGGGTTTTATTTCTAGAAGGAATATATTGGTTTTACAATGATGGTGTTTTTTTATGTTATCATCTTTCCTCGTAAAAGGAGTGCTTTAAAAGTTTGCCATTCAATACATATTGGAAATTGAACTCTGATGGTATTGTAGGAACATCACTTTTAAAACTCCCCAGAATTTGTTTAAAAAATAGTGAAAAGCTGAACCTAATACACAACAAGAGAGATATGAAATAATATGTTTATACAAGACTAACACTTTTGCACATACAACATTTTGACCGGTTTTTGATAAAATGAGATGGACAAAAAATATGTAAATTTGTCTTTTCTTTATCTATTATTATATACATAAATTATAGTTTTCGCTAGGTTGTATTACATTCAACTGCTAAATATAAATAGGTATAGGGATAAATATTATAGTATATATAGGCATCTATTATGCTGAATAAACTTTTAACGGTACAACAGGAGATTAAAGGCACGCAAACATCTAAACATAATAAATTTAAGCTAAGCCATTTAGCATTAAGTGATCATAATTAAAGACGCCTAAAGTGAAAATAAATCAAATAACTAAAATTTAAATTATATAGATTAGTCGTTATTATTTATTAGTTATTACTTGTTTACTTATTCTTTAGTTCCGTTTTCTATAAGCAGCGCCACATTTGAAGATTTATGTACGTGCAGGCTTGTTCCACTAAGTTTATCCGTGTAATAATATTATGTAGCTTTATATTTTGTATTTTAATTTGACTTAACAGTTCCATGATATATTTGTGTCTATATTGGAATTTTTACTGATGAGTGATTTTTCCATTAAAAAAGTAAGATTTATTTTTAATCAACCACTAAAAAATAACTACCTACTACAACCCGTGTTTATTATAAATAGGAAATCACAATTATTATTTTATTTCTTCATAAATAATCAAATCGAGTATTTTTATTTATCGAATAGGTACCTACACACAATGTATTCGAACATTTAATTTTAAGTTTGAAAGTTTCAAATCGGTCATATTCAGATAGGAATTTTCTATTTTCATATAACACTAAAATATAATAAATCAATTAAATGTACATACTATATACCCACCACATATTTAGGATCGATCAATATTCAATTGTTTATATACAATTATCATAATAATATTATGCACCACTTAGACAATATTAATTGAATCTTTCGGAGTTAAAAAAAAATATTGACGATTTATCATGCACTTATTATAGTGTTCGGTCAAATGACGTCTTGCGTAAAGAGTATCTAATACAAAATCAATTATACTGTTTTAAAATTATACATTTATATAATATAAATAGTAATTGTAGTGTATAGTATATGTACTATTATTTATGCCTGTATAAGTGATTATGTTCGATCAGGTACGTTTTCTAATTTAAAGTAAATTCGTAATTATTGTGACCTGCAGTTTGCAGTCAAAACGAATAATATATATACAATGAGGACAAATGTCCTACAAGTTTACCTGTATTTAAGGTCACTGGCTGTAATGGCGTAACTAAGCGGTGATATGTTTGAGTACATGAGCACGAGCCCCATCAGAGCGCAGACGGTCACTTGATATGAGCCCAATCCAAAGTTGCTTAGGATCTCGTCTAAATCCATTATTTCTCCGGAATTCACTTCTTGGTACTACACGTAAACAAAAAAAATAAAATAAAACAACGTCACGGTCATTAAAATCATTCAACGACAGTATAATGCGCGGTTATATGGTATTATGTACGTGATTAGTGCGAGTTCAATACCCTCGAAAATGGTAAAGCGCTTAAATAATGGTATATAGGAAGGTGTATCATAACAAAAACATTATATAGATTATATTATATAGCTGATATCGTAATTATTTTTTGTTAGTTTATATATTTCGGTTAAAAAAAAATAATAATAGTAATTGACCAAAAAAAAAAAATCAGAGAAAAATCATTACAGGTACAAATACACCACATAGAAACATAGTAGAATATTATATAAATATACGGATATGGTAAGGTTGACTATATATTGACCGTCAAAATATATTTGCTCGAAATAAATTCAAACAACGATTTGAGACTGACGATTATCTAGGATAGGGTTGAAACCAAAGTTACAAATCACGCAGGCAAGAATGTTCACAGAGAGTACAATAATATATAGTTTGAAAATAAAATTAATCGACTTGCATCGATGAAGAAAAAGAATTTAGATTTTGTATTGTAGACAAATATATCAATTTGTTTTTAATTGTTTAATATAACTAATTCATTTGATATTTTTACCTACAAATTTTACCAATGGATACATTTTTCCATCTGTATAGGCAGGCTTAAGTGGGTAAATAGTTAAAAGCAGAATTTTTGAACCAAAAAGGTATTGCCCCCTCCCTTTAGAATACGGATCAAATCCGCTATTGAGGCATGCAGCAGTTTGTGTACTATTCACATAGTTGTAGAATAATGACTCGATATTATACTCACAATAAATTCACAAAGGAAAGAACATAATATTAATAGATGCTTTAATGTATCCAATATTTGATAATTATTCACATTTCTTCTACATTTTCTCAAGCCAGACACATTTTTCAATTGTATTATTTGTATAATGGGTAAATTTTAAAATAGGCACCTGGCATACCGCATACACGAGTTTATTATTTTTTCTTCTAACTCTTAAAGGTACCTTGAAATATTTGAGTAAAAATAGGTATAATTAATAATACAAGATATTATTACGCCTGATAACTTTGAAGAACGTCATAAAAAAAAGTGCCAAGTTCTCTATACGAATATGTGACGTATAATTATTATAAATAGAAGTTTACCTACACTTTTAACCATCGAAAATGCTAAAGAAAAATCTTTGATGTTTTTGAAAATAATATAATATAATATTAAATTATAATTTTCATTATGTAGGTACCACCTTATACCGGGGTATACCTGCTGTGTGATACTGTAGTGATATCACTTAAGTATATTATCAGAACCGTTACACTAATTCATATTGTAGTGCCGTTGTATAATAGGCACAATAAATAATAATAATAATATATTACGATCCATGGTTAATGGTTATTGGTTGTAAACAATAGAATTAGTAATGAGAAAATATAAACAATCGGTGAGTGGATGTCCGTGGAGATTTCAGTGAAATGATTTATTTTATTTTGTGCTGTTAAAATTAAATAGCTGACGATAATATACGAGATAGAAATTATAATACAGCCACGCCACTGGGGGTAAGTACCTACAAATATAATAATAATATTATGGAGTATAATTAAAGTACCTACCTAGTCTAGTAGCGTATCATCGTTGAATAAAGTTCAACATTATGTGACAATAATTATAAGGTTATACATATCACTAGACTAGGTAGGTTACATTCAATATAAAAACTTTTAAAACTTTGTGTTGTATACTATAAAAAAAAAAGGTTAGTTGTACTAAAGGTTAGTAGAGCTGTAGAGGTACGTATATTGCCGAATAAAAGTGAACTAATATAATAGCGATTTGTTGAGAACGCAAACGAACGAAATTGCAAATGCATAATATATGAATATAAGTTATCATTTTGAGACGAACCTACTATAGATAGATTACAAGTTGGATCTAGAGAGCTAAAACAAAATTAAAAAAACCCAAATTACATCTAATACCTATATATTATTAGGATAGATATATATTTTATAAAAATGGGAAAAATAATATTATTTTAGGTTAAATTTTCTTAGCATGAATATAATAGGTATGTTTATTCATCGTGTCACATATCTAGAGTAGATATGTAGCAATAATAGATGACATTATGAAATGCAGTAGGTATACTGTACTTGCGAATAATTGAACAGATAGGAAAACAATTTGAATAAAAAAATAACACTAAGAGATAGGTAAAATTTTTTTTAACAAAATAATAGTAATCATTTATCATATTATTATGCATATCAAGTAGGTAGGTTAACAAAATATCACGAATATTCTAATATCACGAATTATGTTAGTACCATAGACCTATTAAATAGTTAATAGGTCTATGTCCTCAACATCTGATAAGCAAAAAAACAGTATTCTGGAAGATAAAATTAATATTTAGTATTTTTTTAGTTAATAGGTCTATGGTTAGTACCCATATAATGGCTGTATCAGTTATATTATAATACCCAGTTGTATTATAATACAATAAGTAAAATGGTTTTATTATCTTTTAAATTCATCGGAAATATAGACAAACAATATTATACTTTAATATTTGATTTTCAATTAAAAAAATATAAAAGATATTTTTTACCTTTTATTTTATTCAACATGCAGTCTATCAGACAATCTTCATTTTTTTATACCTATACGTACTTAAGTACCTTCGTCCCACACTATACAAATATATAATATAAACAAATAAATCAAATATTTTTTTTATTATAAGAATTTTTTTAATTTTTATAGGTACTTAATCCACTTTTGAAAATGGTGATAGAAATTGAATACTCCAAAGCAAAAAAATTTTATTTATAAAAAAATAAAAAATGTTGATAGCATATACTAGGTATTGTAAGCTATTACATTTATGTATGACTATTACAATAAAAAATTAAAAAATATAAAATTATTTCTCTGCTCTTCCAATCACCTTATCATCAAAACTTTATACGTTTATATAATGATAAATTATTCACTTATAATATGGATTGTTCGATTAAATGAATGTAACTCGTTAAGTAGACCACCAGCGTTAATACAATGTTCATAATGCACTTTTAAAGTTTACATTTATATGATATCATATACATATTGACATCATATATTTTGTAGGTACCTACCTACATGATTACCTTATTATAGCACTTATTTTGCGCATATTGGACGGAGTTACAAAAAATCTATCATTGACTCCGACGTCAGTGCGTATTGGCAGATTTTACTACTTGACCTACCTACATAGTATGTAATGCTGTAACCTATTTACGCATTCCTCCGACGGAATTCGCATTTGAACTCCGATGGATAAAACGAAAGACAATTAAAAATAAACATGATCATTTTACAAGCAGTTCGATGTGAATTTTTTTCAGTAAAACTTTTAAAATATATATTGTATCAAGTATATTAGACTGAATTCCAAAATGTTTTGCCCGTTTAATTAATATACAGTTTAAAGCACCAAAGAATCCGGCAGAGTGTAATTCACATATTTCGACGTAGTTTCTGAAGTGAAAACCATTTTTATTACATACATTTGAATATTTGATATAGTTTGTGATTATTTTAACGTAGGTCATCTTAAATTTTATAACTGCGTAAATCGTCTTATATTTTTTTTTATATTAAAATTTTAAACGAAGGCTGCAATCATATTTTGACAGTTCCACTTGAAGGAATGCTATTGAAAATTTCATTTATGACAGTGGTAACATAGAGTTAAAGATCTAAGTCCAATGCGTTATGACTTATAGAGACAATATTTATTAAAGTTTTATTTTGTGTGGGGGGTAGAAGCTAATAATTATATTAATTATAAGACCATAACGTGTCATGCTGTTGAAATGATCTTTAGGTCACAGCCTTACAGGTTAACTATCTGAGAACAGGCCTGTTCCCGGGAACCTATTGGAAGTGGCTTGACAGCGTCGAAAAGCAACTAGTGTCCATATCAACTTCGACATTCCTTGTTTCAAATGTAAATCATATAATTCAATAATTGATTAACAAATTTATGGTTGACGTAAAAATTTTACATTTCGAAAAGGAATTGTTTAAAATATAAATTCTATAGGCATGATAGTTACCTATAAATGAAACATGATTGATTATTCGGTACAGTAAAGATAAAATAGGACAGTTGTTATCTATATTAGGTGCGCCAAACTCGAAGAAAGTTTTGAAGTTATATAGTTGCGGGCGGCCAGTCTATTCCGTCAAACAAGCAATTGCGTGGTTTTAGAATTTCGTTTTTTGAAAGGAAGCGTTTTTATAATATAAAACAATAATGTTAAGCAGGTAGGTACTAAGATAGTATTATTATTTATTTAACTATGACACATTGTTCAGAATACGTTTATGTTAATTATACTGTTGTAAAAACTCTAATGTTGTTGTTTGGCAAATAAATAATATAGAATTATACAAACTATATATAGGTGTTATATCTTCTTGTCTTACATAATATTTTAACGATAGCTTTAATAAAATGTAGGTAGGTACTCTAATGTAGAATGTAATAGGCTCTAAGCCGCTGAATCTTAAACAGTTATATAAACACGATAAGCGATATTATTCTATTACGATATAGGTAATCTTCCCACGTGGTAACTATAACTATATAAACTGATATAATATTATTATGTACAGTCGTTTCGGTATCACCTAAGGAAATAAATTGTGTCATGACAAATACTGAAACTTCTATGTTAAAAAAAAATAAAAAAATAAATCAAACGTTTAATGCCACTTATAAATGAATTAAAACCATTAATTATGGTAGATATCTACCTATTTATAATTTATTTGTTTATGTATAATATACAAATAATAATAATTCATAACCCATTTCCAATAAGTATTGTCGTTTTCGAAATATTATCATCATATTACCCATCACCAAATATTACAAACATAATATAA